GAACCAGGTGTCATCAAGGACTCATCCTGGTAAGTAACAGTGTCCACTATACTTGTGTATGTTACAGCTCCTGACGAGGAAGTGTCTACCAGGTATCTGAGTGTGTTGCAGCTGGCATATATCTTGGCGGAAAATTAAAACTATCTGATAGTGAGGTCAGTAAGCAGGTATTCTGTGCACACCTGCCTAGGTGTTGTCTTGATTACTGGTTTAATCAAATTCTAGTTCAGTGTATACTGATTTCCTATACTCTTTGATGGCTCTGGCCCGGTATGTTTTTGTTCACCCTGTGGCCCATAAGATTCGGGAGTGGTTTGTCCATATCCACACGTAGTACAAGGACATGGGGTGAAGTTGGTGCCGGAGCAATTTCGGGAAAATAAGAGGCGAATGCTGAAGTAATGGCTACTATTTCGAGCATACTATGAAGCAGACTTCTAGATCAGGCTCAGTGACTTCATGGATCATATATGTAGACAAGTTTGTGGGAAATGGCAGGCCCAGTGGACACTATGCGACTTATGACGTGCAGCAAACCGTGGAGTCCATTTTAGCTGTTTACCAGCGGCTTTGTTCTTTTTGCCTAAATCAGTTTTTTATAATTACCAGACTGACAGAAGGTACCTCAGGGAACATACGGGAGTCTTTGACATTGTCAGTTTACTAGCATTTTTAACTGATGCTGGTTATTTTAACCTGATGCAATAGTTTTGTTATATGCTTGTTTGTGCTAGAAGGTTATTTTCGTTACTTTGTTTTTTTCTTATTCTTATGTGTGTTTTGAATTATTTTTATTTCCAAGAGTGTTAAGTAATCTCCCAGGTCTAAGTGTACTTGAAATATCAAAACTAACTTCTTTCAAAACGCCGATGCTGTTTTTCGCTCATTCTTAATCATTTACAAGCACGTTTTCCTTAGAAAGACACGGTGATAGAGGAGGCTAATAAAAGCGGCATTAATAATGGCTAGATCTACCCACTAAGAGAAAGGAGGGACATGCATTGTTTCTTAGTGAGCAAGAATCAAAATGGAATATTACAAAATATAATAGGAAGACATAAGAAAAAGGCCAAGCTAGTGTTCATCATTTAGCCTCCTTCCCTCAGCAGGCAGGGGCGTCACCAGGATCCTCGACGTTTGTGTCAGGTGAATGTTGGTGACGCCTGACAGAGGGAAGGGAGGAGGGAGACTCACGTAGCTACTGGACCTCCTGCTGCTGGTACTCTCGGGTGGTGGTCACACCCTGCCTACACACGTACTTGGGTAGTGGTCACACCCTGCCTACACACGTACTCAGGTGTTGGCCACACCCTGCCTACACACGTACTCTAGAGGAAAGAGGAACACAAGGGTTAATCCACATTGACATAGCTGGGTCATGTGTGAAGGAGGGAGTCACATCATCGGGGTTAACATCATGAGTATAGCAGGTGAGGCATAAATATGATCAGGGGGCCACTATCATTTGTGACGAGGGTGAGGTTTGGTTAACATAAAGGGCCACCATCATTCGTGAAGTGGGTGAGGGTTGTAAATATGAAGGGCCACCATCATTCGTGAAGTGGGTGAGGGTTGTAAACATGAAGGGCCACCATCATTCGTGAAGTGGGTGAGAGTTGTATATATGAAGGTCGCCATCATTCGTGAAGTGGGTGAAGTTGGTAAACATAAGGGGGAACCATCATGCGTGAAGTGCATAAGGGTAATGCATATAATTGGATGTTGAGGATTTAAGAGCACAGTGAAAAATCTCCTATGACTTATTGCTTTTTACAGGATCAGTTTTTCGTATATTCCATATTAACATTCAATTAAGAAAAAATAATTGTCTGTATCGAGAAAATCTGCAGCAAGCCTAATGGTCCGGGGGAAGGGAGGAGGGAAACTCGTGTAGCTACGGAACCTGCTGCTGTTGCTGCTACTCTGGTGATGCTCACATCTACCTTATTTGTATCGATACTTTATTTGCTGATTCATATTTAATTGAATGTTTATTAAAAATAAAAAAAATACGTCAGTTAGCAGTTACATTGATTCTCTGCTTTAAACAATAATTTGTTTACACAGTGACAATGGGATTTATTGTAGAATGATCTGCGACTTAAGTATTTCTGTTATGATAATCTAGTTTGACTGTCCAGTTCAAATTGGACTATTTTATAAAAACTATGTTTTTCTTCCTTTTCAAATCAGAATTATTTAAGGATTATTAAAATTTCAAACACAAAAATATTGCATTCACCGTGCAAAAAGGATAATATTACGTTTCTTTATGTTAATGTAGAACGTTTTAATAACTTTCTTAGTTAAGTTTAATGTAAAACCACATGCGCTAGATTCTTTCTTTTTTAGTCGTCGTAATAATTTCGTTTAGTAAAAAATGACAGACAATTAAGTGGCACCATTTAAAGTATTATACTCACAGTTCTTATCTTCTTTTGATGCTGAAGTTAATTTTTTTTTCATAATATAAGCTCTTGGCCCAAATACATTGATCATTTAGTCCTTGTGTGGAAAATACTGTAAATTTCCCAAAAATACAGTGTATTTGGTATGTAAATTGATGGAATATATTGTAGGTAATAAAAATTAATTTGTAAATAAATAAAGAACCAGCGAGTGTGGTGAGCGTCGCTGGGGGAAGGGGCGTCGCCATTGTTTTTTGAACTGAGCAAGAGAAACGTAAGGAAGAATCAAAAGAATTTTCGTCGCTCTAGAGGTTAAATTGTGTTTAAAACCTCTCAAATAGGAGCCGAAATTGTTGGATTTGCAGTCCTGCAGAACGTGAGAATTAGGCGACTGGACAGGACTCCGTAATTAGATGGGAACAGGATAAAATTACCCCAGTTGAGTAATGTCTATATTTATGTTGAAATTCTGGCCAGTATTTTCTTCATATTTCAGGCAGGGGTTTGTGTATGGCACTAAGTATTCTCCAAACAAATTGGTGAGTGTTATTATTATAAATTTTCCTTCAATGTATATGTAGCCAGTTATTAAATTTAACATACAGTCCACATATTTATATTAATGTTGTACCAGAATTCCTGGTGATGTATATTTCATTTGAAATTAATATAGGTCCAGAATGACTTGAGATACGAGTGAAGTAGGTATCGAAGGAGGACATTTTTTGCGACCTAGGATGTCCTAAAATTCCTACATGGCTCTGTAACCTTGATAAAGAATAATTATCTTTGTTACTTTTATAAAATTACTAGTATGTATCTAATGAGATTCATCCAGGTAATTTTAATTTTCCATACCTTGAATATGTTGGTTATATTAAGCTTCCTTATCACCACCATTTAAGTAATACTATTAGGAAACAATGATACATATTATTACAAGCTAGCACGCGCGTACTAGATTCAACTTTATTTTTGTTAGCCCTCTAACTGCAAGCTGTGACTTCAAGTTTAAGAGTCTGTTGCCTCTCCTCTGTTCTAATGTATCAGTTTGTTAATCCAGTGTTAATATTAAATATGTCATAATGACTTTCCAAGCGTTTAAAAGAGCATGTACGTGAAAACTTTTTTTTCGAAAGGAGGGAAGGAAGGGAAAGCAAGTCACTGCACATATGCCAATGATTTTACTAGTACTGTTACTACTATTGTTGCTGCTATTGCTACTTTTATTATTATTATTACTAATGCAGCTACCATGTTTAAAGCGTGTGAGCTCCCATTCACTACTGAAAAAATGAATACAATGTAATTAAAATAAGCTACTACACACTGTGCGTGGGAGGTGAGCGCCTCATGCTAGGTTTGATACATATTAAAGTGTGTGTGGGGGCACATATTGAAGCACCTGTTTGAGTACATGTTTAAAGTGCAGGAGTTCCTTTGACGCTGCTGTGCCGTCAAGTGTCACAAACTAATGTTCGAAGTTAGCTTTAAGAACGTGAAGAAATAAAAATTGCACTACATTGTGTAATGTGAGCTTGAAGCTCTACATAGCAATACATGTTAAAAATAAATGGTTATTTTGTAAGGTGTTTTTATGTACATTAGACGGCGGATGAAATTTAAAATCAGATTCTAGCATGAAAAAACACAAAATCAGAAGAAATGCGTGACAAGGCGACTCCTAGTCTTATATCAGTTTTTAAGTGATAATTTTCAAACTGCTCTAACTATAATCTGTACGAGTTTAATGATTTTTGGGAACATTCTCTTCTTAAATAATCCATAAAATACCTCAACATACACACAAACCTAATAGGCATAGCAGAGTTTGTTGACAAGCAACGTTAAAACCCAGACACGTCCTAGCATTTCATTTGGTCATCTCTAAGAAGTACATAGTTGTGGGCAGTGAAGTAACACTCTGGCAGGGAAGTCGCACATCACCTCGGTCAACTCTTGAGAGGTGCGCCAGCCAGAATATTGCTTACCACATGTAAATGCTATGAAAATAATCCATCTGTAACGTGTTGAAGTCCTTGAAAAGGATGCAGCTGCAGAGAAGTCAACGGAGGTGAAAGGTTAAAGCCAGAGGTAACATTGTAAACACTTAGATAACAATATTAACACAGAGGCTGTAAGACACGTCTGGAGGTTATAGAATAAATGTTACTTGATAAGTGCAGATGTGACAGAATAAACGTGAAGGTGAAAGTAAAAAACAGTCATAAGATAAGGGTGGAGGTGACAGGGTAAACATGGAGATTCTAAGTGTGGACCTAAGCGTGGATGTAACAGCATTTGTCAGCACATGCGAAGTCGGACGTGTGAAACGATCCTTAGCTCATCACATGTAAAGGGTAGAAAAGTGCTAATATTCAGGCAATATAGGATGATAGTGAGACGTACATAGTATGGGCCAGACAGAGGATAGGTTGCTTATCAGTGTGGTGTTAACAGCTGTACTCCTGAGATTTCATCATCGTTAAGAGAGCTACATACCCACATAAGTCACGATAAGTAGGTTATATACATACATCGAATGAAAAAAAGTTGTACATTAGACGAGAACAAATCTAGATTAGGAATTACCAGAGAGGAGTGGGTGATGCATGAAGACAGCCATGCATGAGACTCGCAGGTGGTGCTGCTGGTGCTATTACGACCATTATGTGAGGTCTTCGATTCTTCGGCTACGGCTATTATATGAAGTCGTCACTCTTTCCACCACGACTCTTAATAATCCTGTTACTAAATACCTGCATCATGACAAGAGCTGCTAGTTCTAGTCTTCATCAGAATGTGTCTTGAAAAAGAGTTCAGATTACGAGCTTCTAGTAATTTGGCCTCCCTGATTTTACAAAGGATGTAGAGCTGTTGTGTGGTTCTGCCTCATTGCCTGTGAACAAATTAAGATATGTTAAAATTTAGGATTAATTACCTGCTGTAAGTTATCTGGTCTAGTTCTAACTTGTGGCCAACAACTCAGTATCACTGATTGGATTAATGAATATAAAGAGTGGACAGTCTGTGTTCTTTGTTGGCATGTCGAGTAATCTTTACCCTAAACATTATGTATTACGTATATGCATTTTCGCTACTTTTGTTGAGCTAGGCCAGGAGCTAGGAATTAATGTACAATTGCTATGGATCCCATCACACATTGGATTACTCCTTCATGATAAAGTTGATATGTTAGCCAAGAAGAGTATCGAGAAGGAGAATGTAGAATATAACTTTGGTATAACTGTGTCTAGCATTAGGAATAATATTAGGAGAGAAGTAAATAATGAAAATGATTGTTATAGGAATGCAGTTAGAAGCCTGAGTAGATCTATAACCCACTATGATAACATGAACGTAGATAAGTATGTTTATGGAGCAACTTGCAATGTGAACAGACTGACTGATGTTGTAGTGGCCAGGCTTAGGCTTGGTTACAAGTACTTCTGGCAGTTTGGGAGACACACAGATGATGATCAAACTAAATGTAAATTATGTGATCAGGCATATGGTCACTCTCTTGAACACTATGTGCTTAATTGTCCACTTATTGAGGAATACAGAGACAGACAGTATAATAACCTATGTGACATGTCAAGATATCTTATTAATGAAAATAAGATACCAGATATACTAAGCAAATTTCCTAAATTTGCTTGTAACAGATAAGTGAACTATAGATATGTAGATATAAATCCATATGTATTCCTGTTAACCCTTTGGGGCCTAGTTCCTAGGCCTTTTGTGTATCCATATGCTCTCGCGCTACCGTCCACAGGATGGATATGGGGTGCACAATAAACTAGCCACTTCGGTGGCAAAATCTAAAAATCTAGGCCACTACTGTTTTCCGTTTTCTCTAGTTATTGCCCTTAATTTGTTATTGTAGGGATAACTTCACGAGCTGGTGAAAGGCTAACTAAGTTTATTCAGGTCCCTTACATAAGTTTAAATTTTTTAAATTGTTTTATATAACAAGTGTAAATTACCTAGGATAACCCAAATAGAAATAAGTCACATTGTCTGACTTTTTTGGGTAATCCTCTACACAAATGCTGCTATGTATGATAATCTATGTAACGGTATTTGTGTATACCTGAATAAACTTGTGCACCCCATACCCATACTGTGGGCGGTAGTCAAAAGATTACAGAGGTACATAATGGGTCCAGGGACTGGACCCCCAAGTTATGATAGCTGAAGGTAATGAACTCTAGGTAGATCTGGTCACAATCATGGAAAGTTACAAAGGTAATGAACCATTTACACTCCTATACATGGTTACAGTCATGAACAAATTACAAAGTAATGAGCCACTGACACGTCCACGTGTGGGTCATACACCCACACGAGCGCGCATACACATGCAAGCAAGCGCGCACATACACGAGGGCGCACGCACAGACACACACGAGTGTACATACACACACACACACACACACACACACACACACACACACACACACACACACACACACACACACACAGTGGTAATGCTTTATTTACAGCTAGCAAAGTCAGGGTATTTTTCCAGAATGGTCTATAATATACCACTGTTACCTGGAGTTTACCTGGAGAGAGTTCCGGGGGTCAACGCCCCCGCGGCCCGGTCTGTGACCAGGCCTCCTGGTGGATCAGAGCCTGATCAACCAGGCTGTTACTGTTGGCTGCACGCAAACCAACGTACGAGCCACAGCCCGGCTGGTCAGGAACCGACTTTAGGTGCTTATCCAGTGCCAGCTTGAAGACTGCCAGGGGTCTGTTGGTAATCACCCTTATGTATGCTGGGAGGCAGTTGAACAGTCTCGGGCCCCTGACACTTATTGTATGGTCTCTTAACGTGCTAGTGACACCCCTGCTTTTCATTGGGGGGATGTTGCATCGTCTGCCAAGTCTTTTGCTTGCGTAGTGAGTGATTTTCGTGTGCAAGTTCGGTACTAGTCCCTCTAGGATTTTCCAGGTGTATATAATCATGTATCTCTCCCGCCTGCGTTCCAGGGAATACAGGTTCAGGAACCTCAAGCGCTCCCAGTAATTGAGGTGTTTTATCTCCGTTATGCGCGCCGTGAAGGTTCTCTGTACATTTTCTAGGTCGGCAATTTCACCTGACTTGAAAGGCGCTGTTAGTGTGCAGCAATATTCCAGTCTAGATAGAACAAGTGACCTGAAGAGTGTCATCATGGGCTTGGCATCCCTAGTTTTGAAGGTTCTCATTATCCATCCTGTCATTTTTCTAGCAGATGCGATTGATACAATGTTATGGTCCTTGAAGGTGAGATCCTCCGACATGATCACTCCCAGGTCATTGACGTTGGTGTTTCGCTCTATTTTGTGGCCAGAATTTGTTTTGTACTCTGATGACGATTTAATTTCCTCGTGTTTGCCATATCTGAGTAATTGAAATTTCTCATCGTTAAACTTCATATTGTTTTCTGCAGCCCACTGAAAGATTTGGTTGATGTCCGCCTGGAGCCTTGCAGTGTCTGCAATGGAAGATACTGTCATGCAGATTCAGGTGTCATCTGCAAAGGATAAAATACTTAGCCATTTCTTGAACATTTCTGAGTGAGTTGTTTCTAAATTCATTAATTTTATCACACTCCAGTACATAATGACGCAGGGTGTGACAATAGTCCATCTGGCAAAGTTTACATTTCGTTTGGTCTACATCTGGTGGTGGTGATTTAACCTGCCAAAGATACTTGTAACCCAGCCGGAGCCGGGCAGTAGTGACATCCAAGAGTCTGCTTATCTTGTTGGATGCACCATGGACATGTGGCTCCTCCTGCATGATAGAATGATGATAGATGGACTGACTTGTGTTGAACAAGTTAAAAAGGTAATGAACTCAAGGTAGATCTTGTCACAAATATTAGACGATTATACAAGTTACTAGCAGCATAACTCGGCGCTGCCTGGGTATATTTCAAAGAACAAGAGGTATGTCTCTCAAGGTTTTAAAATATGCTAAGAGCTTAACCACTAAAATAGGGATTAAAGTATTCAAGACTGTTGGTGAAGAGTTCACCGTGTATCCTTAGTGACTCATGAAGTCGATGGGCTTTTAAATTCCACCCGTAGCTCGATTGCTAGCGCACTCGCCTCACACTTTGAGGTCCGGGGTTGCTCTCCTGTACGAGTGGAAACATTAGGACGTGTTTCCTTAAGACACCTGCTGTCCCTGTTCGCTTATCAGAAAATAGATACCCGAGTGTTAGTCGACTGGTGTGGGTCGCATCCTGGGGACAAAATTGACCTAATTTGCCAGAAATGCTCTGCATAGTCAAGGGGCTGTCTATATAGTATGTCATTGATGTTAGCTAGGACTGTATACCTTGTACATGTGCTTGTAGAAGTAGATTATTATTAGTAACCATAAGATAACTTATAAATATAAAAAGTTAATTATATTTTTACTTAATCAGTTGTGGAAAAAATCACATTTCTCAATCAAAATGCATTTTCTTAAGTCATTAATTAGAAAGTAGCAACATGATGTATTATTGCAAAATATATATGTTACTGAGAAGTATGGTGAGTATAATCATATGCAAAAAGAAGCATTAAGTCATTTCAATGCGAGTTAGTTTGGCATAAGAACATTGACAAGTAAAAATGTTGCCAAATCAAGATCAATATTGCCAAATCAAATAATTGGTCGGTTAAATGTTCACGTTACATACGCTTAGTGACAAAATTTAAGTCGTGTGATGTAAAATAAATCATATTGTATTAAGTATTGAATGTGCTTGCAATAGGGGCTTATTATATAAAAATTGTTTTGTAATAAGACATGATCACGTGAAAGCAAGCAGTACTGAAGGGCCCTGAGACAGCCGGGTTAGGTTAGGTAAGATTCGTCAGGGAAAAACATCAGGGCGCTCAGTCACTTAGCATTTAGTGGCAAGGACGCAGCTAAACTATTCCTTTAGTTGAAATATAGGCAGTCTGTTGAGTAATACGCTCCTACAGCCTGAAGATGATTAACAAACAGTATCCACAGAGCTTGTGTTACGGGTGGACCAAGCTTAGAAGACAAAGTGAAGAGATCGGAGTATAAAACAAATTTCAGCTACGCAGTAAAGCGAAAAACTAATGTGAAGGACCTAGGAGTGTTAATGTCAGAGAATCTCAGTTTTAAAGATGGCAGGAATGTCTCTACCACATCTGCTAGGAAAATGATGGGATGGATAATGAGAACCTTCAAAACTAGGGGATGCCAAGCCAATGCTTCTCCTCAAATAACTTGTTCTCTCTAGGCTAGGATACTGCTGTACACTAACGGCCCCTTTTAAGGCAGTCGAAATTGCAGACCTGGAGAATATACAGAGAACTTTCACTTCACGTAAAAGCACAATAAAGCACCTCAATTACTGGGAACGGTTGAAGTCCCTTGACTTGTCCTCCTTGCAACGCAGGCTAGAAAGATGCATCATAATATATATTTAGAAAATTCTAGAGTGACTAGTCCCAAATCTGCACACGGAAATCACTCTTTACAAAAGCAAAGACTCGGCAGGAGATGCAGCATATCCCCCTCAATGAAAAGCAGGGGCGCCATGAGTACGCTAAGAGACAATACAATAAGTGTCAGGGGCCCAAAACTGTTCCCCTGCCTCCCAGCATACATAGGAGGGATATACCAATAGACCCCTGGTTGCCTTCAAGAGAGCTAAACAGGCACGTAAAGTCAGTACTAGACCAGCCGGGCTGTAGTTCGTACGTCAGGTTTGCGTGCGGCCAGCATTAACAACCTGGTTAATCAGGTGCCTGTCAATCCCAAATCTTACCTACTTTCTGAGATGCTCCCCAGCCCTCAGCAGTCTGAACCTCAAGGAATATGATTCTCTCCTTAAGACCATGCAAAAGTGTGTATTGAATCTTTCCATCGAAGAT